TGTTGCTGGTCACACATGGAGATCTTGTGCAGGCGGAGGGCAATGTTGGTAAGTACAGCAAGCGTTTCACAACACTGCCTAAGGCCGCTGGGACGACTTGCATTTGACATGTTGTTGCATGTGCGTGTTATTGTTTTTCTTGTTTTTTTTTTTTGTTTGCTGGCGCAAAACAATTTACAAGCTTAATTAAAAGTTTGACGCAAAACTAAATCCAAATTCCCCGCAGGGCGCACCGTGCCCCAATCTGCCTGCACGTCCACATTTTAACAAGATTTTCAATGCAAATATGTTTTAACTAGTTTGTGCAGGCAATGCATGCATGTGTGTGTGTGTGTGCGTGTGTGTGTGTTTTTGTGTTTGTGTTTCCTGTCACTCGATTATTTGACCGGAAACTGACAAAGTGCATCGGACTAAGCCAGTTACAGTTGTTAAATCAAATTATCCCTGCATCGCATTCAAGCCGAAACTGCGCTGACATTTTGTCTGCGGCTGCCTCATGGGGTACAGTGCCGTCAAAATGTTTGTTTGCTGAACAATGAAAACTAGATGTTTAGTGAAACTATTCAATGTGCTGTAGGACATTTAGTAATCAACATTAAAAGTGTAAAATGCTAGACATACAGTTATGTTCAAGCACTAAAAGTGTTGTAAAATGGCATAAAATAAGCAAACTTTGCTTAATGACTTGAGCTCTTTTAGTGTGGGTTGTCTGCTCCTCGAAGTGTGCTAAAAACTGAAAGTTTTCAAAACTAAGAAGTGTTTAAAAATATCAAAAAGGTCATCAAGATTTTTAGACTGATTCATGTAGCATAGATTTAAGTTTTATCTCATGCAGTTAAAGTACATTTTCATCAGTTGCTTTCAATTATTTCAATGAGCTGCATTTGAAGTGTTCAATTAGTATTTCAGCCATAATATGAAGAGAGTTTCACTGGAGTTACGATTTCATGTGCAACAGAATATTGTTTAATTAAAAGTTCAACCGTAATTGGCGTACTATCAGTTAGTGTTTAGAAGAAGCCTGCACAAGTTTTACATTTCATTAGGTTTGCTGCAAACTAATTGCACTTTCCAAATTGCTTTAAATGCCCTAACTGCGGTAAATGTCAGCACCTGCAGCAGCTCTTGGACGCAACTGTACATTTCCATTAGGGAATGGAAATGTAACTCGAGCTGTTGCTGCTGCTACCCCTAAAGGACGAACAGCTCTAAGTCCGGTCGTCATGACAACAACCAGTTGCTGATGCAAATTTGCAACTTGGACGTCAGCAATCAACCCTCATGTGTGTGTGAGTGTGTGAGTGTGGGCGTGCATTTATGCATTGCCTTGCGCAAATATCAACAGGAGCTGGGTCCTGGGATTTATTGATTGCCAACTGCTGTCGCACGTCTGTGTGTCGCCCACGCATCCGGTTGCTGCTGCTGCTGCTGCTGCCGTTGCTGTCACACAGACTGTTGCAGAGACTCTTGTAGATAAATGAACTGACACTGCATGCTGTGGGCTGACACACACAATGGTCTCGCTAGCTGTTGTTCCATGTCATGTATATATTAGTAAGCAGGTTGCATTATCAACAGCAGCAACAGCCGCAACAGCGGCAGCAACATTATCATTAGCCCGAACTGCCGCAAAGCAAAAGCACTCGAGTTACAACTTTTGTTGCTGGTTTGATGTATAAAATTTAATTAGTAGCTGCAACGCGTGGCAGCAACAACGCATTGAACTTTTGCCTGCGGCAAGCAGCGTAGCAACGAGCAGCAACACACAACTTCATTAAAATGACAGCAAAGCCAAAAGCACAAACTTTTGTCAACTGTCCACACGGCAGCAACTGTTGCTGCTATCGATGCTGTTGTTGTTATTGCAACTGCTGCTGCTGCTGCATTTATTCATTTTCATTTGAAAAGCAAATATTTGCGCACATTTTAAAAGTATCTTTTGCAATTCCTGCTGCTACTGCGCATTTGCCATATTTTTTGCAGTGCGGCAATTTTAATGAAATTCCAACCTAAATTTTATTTTTGTCGTATTTTCGCCATCAATTTGTGATGAATTATTAATTAGTTCAGTCGTGCGAAAAAAAAAATTTAGATAAATGCAGCGCTAATAGCATTTGCATTTACCACATCACGTATACGCCGCGCGGCTCCACACTGACTAAAAAAAAAATCATTTACTTATTGAAAACCACTCACGTAACGCAACCAAATCAGATTTGCAACACTTTTCAGTCAGCAGCCGAGACCACAAAGTAATTTTATACAAAGCAACCACACGATGTAGGCATTGCTATTGTTCTATTAACGTTCTGTCCTGTGGGCTGATTGCTATTTGTTGCCGCTGGAAACTATTTGAAATATTCAATTTATTTATTTTACAATCGAATGCGCACAGAGAGCAAATTTAATAAAGGCTTAACTAAAGTAAAGGTAATATATGAGGAAACTAAAGAGCTGAGCACGTATCTGTAAATTTCCATATATATTTTAGCAAGTCTCTGAAATATCTTCGCCATTTACTGCTCACTTGCTCATTGTCATATGCTGCTTGCATTTTATTTATTTCGCAAAGTTTAGCATTCAACTTTAGCTGAAGTCCACTTGGCTCAGCCCAAAAAAAGTTGCAATTGCTGCAACTGAAAGCCAGTCGAAAGTGTGTCGAAAACTTAGATAAGTGCCGCATTATCTGCTGCTGTTGCTGCGCTTCACGCTTCTTGCATGAAAACTTTATGCGGCGTCTAAATGCAACAGTTTTTTCTTTATATATGCTGCGCACTCTGTGCTCTGCTAGAAGATGTTTCAATTATCTCATGTGCTAGGCAACGCAGGTGAAGGATTCTCAGCAAGAAAATAAATATACATGTCTTAAACTTTCATTAACTTCAGAGCTGAGCGGTAGCAGACTATAGTTAGCTTATTTTGGAAGCTGAAGAAAATGACTTTTTCCGTTTCTCAGTATACTTAAAGCAGCTCCAAAGGCTTATCAAATAGAAATATATTTTAAAAGATTTTATTTAGCTTTAAAAAAATAAAAAAATAAATCTTATATTAAATTCTAGCCAGAGCATTTCATATTCGTATTCATATTGTGCAGTTGCATCTTTGTGGTAAGTTGCGGCAATTGTTAGTAATTGCGACACTTAAATGCTGCGTCGTGGCGCACCTACGAAATGTGGCAAGTTTTTTGGCGCTTGTAAGTTTTGGTGGCCAGTGATAGCTGAAAAGTTGGAGCTGACTGCTGCGCCGTTTTGTCTTCCTGCTGCTGGCTTAAGGTGCAGTCAAAAGGAAAAGTCGTCGCATTTGCTGTCTCTGACAAATGCGCAAATGCTGCTCAATTGTGTCTACAACTGGGTAACAATATGTTTACGCTGCCACGCCCAAGAGAGCTAGAGGCTAGAGGAGCAAACAGACAGACAACGTTGTTGTTCCAAGCCATTTGAGCGGAGGGCGCAAATTAAGTGCATTTTCATTAGTTACAAGTTGTTGCATTTTATAAATTAAATTGCCGAGGCGTGCAGCAACTGGAAGCGCCTCAAATTCTGCTCTGCGCTGCGCTGTGCAGCAATTATTTTTCATGGCTGTTAGCCTTGTTCGCATGAGCTGCACAAGCACAAGCGGAAGCGTGCAAAGGAAGAACATGAGTGCCACTAGGTAGCAGCGTGGCTGAGTGGAAGAGAGAGAGAGAGAGAGATGGCAACTTTTTTGGCCATGTTAACCAGCGGCTATCATTTGCAGTACTTGAAGCGATAGAAGCACACACACATGCCAAGCTCAAGCACTTGTTAGAAAGTTTTTGCCACGCGCATTAAAAGTTGTCTATTACCTGCAGCTAAGAAGAAAAAGTTGCACAGCTTCCTTAAGCATGACGAAGATGACAGACTCTTACAAGAGTAGATATGCATATGATATTATACACTGTGATATGATTAGATATTAGTCTATTAATTATATATATATATATATATATATATATATATAATTATATTTATCTTTCAGCTATGCAGAATACTCTACATAGCCTTAAATGTGTGAATCTTGAAAAAACAATTTTCTTCCAAAAAAACTCAAATTTGAACTTAAGCAAATTGATCAAAAAATTACTTCTGAGAGTTAAGCAATCAATTCAGTTCCAATATTTATATACAACTAGTAGCTTAAAGTTGCAGCTCTAACAAATAAAAAAAAAATAAAAAAAAAGTCCCAGAGAGCTGAGTTCACCTAGGCATAGAGTCGATACAGCTTCAAGAATTAAAATCAAGCACCATACAAAAAAAAAAAAAAAACACACATAAATCTTCACCAACTATATTTAATGAAATCAACAATTTGAAGGACAAATGCGTGTTATGAATAAACGCAAAATACGTTGAGACGTTGAGACGTTGGGAAGATAAAGATGCAGATGTAATCGTTGACAAAGTTTGTCGATTCGTCGATGCGGAACAAATGCGCAAAGTTTGAATTGAGGTTAAAGTTGTCCTAAGTCCAATAAATAACTGTGACAGCATATGCAAAATGTAGATATTTGTTTGCCTCTGCTATCTCATTTTCATGGAGATGTGCGCAATGTCTCGAGACAGAACAAGGTTCGAAATTTTATTTTCTATTTATTATTTTGATTAAAAATTGTTATTCGTGGCGTGTACAGGTCACGTTCCAAATGCATACTATTAGCATAAGATTATTTGACTAGAGTTTATCAAATATTTCTTGTCGTGTGAAGCTTACTTGAGATCCTCAAGCTAATATAAATAGCCTGAACGAAGCTCTTCCGATTATGATTATTGTTGCATAAGATAGTATTAGTACCCAGCGCTGTTAGAGAAGCCCTAGGAGCTAAATGGCTCAGTTTTAATGAATGTTGCTCATATTTCCAGTAACTGAATATGTTTATTATTAGTAGACAATGCTGTCTTTAATAGCTTCGAGTTTCAACTGAAGGGGGAAGGCAAACATTGAAAGCCATAACAATTCAATTATGTTGCTTCATAAAGTTGGGCATGAGACGCGAGGCGGGCGCTATCTATGAGGGACATGCTCCTTGGACGTATCGAGTAACAGCAGCTACTCAGAGATTGGCTGCCAAGTTAATTAAACTGGGCGAGTTGAAGGCTGGCAGCAAGATGAAAATGTAATTAAGAGATAAAAATGAAACAATGAGCACATGTGTCTGTGTGTGAGTGTGTGCGCGTCACGCCCCCTCAGCAGTACGCCCACCTGCATTGTGTAGCCCATCAGTTGAGTAACTTGAACTGACATGGAATTCATAATGACTCGAGTTTAGAGTCAATCGGGAGGGAAGGGCAGGCTTGGCAGACAATCAAAAGAGAGCCAATGGAACGAGACCAAAGCGTGACTAATGACGAATAACTGTAATCATCATAAAGAATCATAAAAATGAAATGTGTTATAATACGAGTCTGATTCGAAATTGGCCGCCAAATTGCCAGAGGGCATGCCATCAAAATTAACGTAGCCTCGTAAATATATCCAGCCCGATTCCACAAACACACACACATGCCATCAAAATTAACGTAGCCTCGTAAATATATCCAGCCCGATTCCACAAACACACACACACACATGCACACACACACATATACGTATATCCACAAAGATATGCACTTATACTCATATATCCATATAAATAGCCATATGAGAAATGCTACACTGAAGTGCAAATATGCGTAAAATTGCGCACATATTTCGCACAGACTGAGGAGAACACACAAACACACTTAAATACAGCTACACACACACACACAAAAACATATTAAACATAAAAATGTCGCGACCAACAAATGAAGGAAAGTCAAAGAGGGCTGTAGAAAGACTTGGTTAGGTAGTTTGGATTGCCAGACTTAAATATACTCTGTATTAATAAAGAGAGAGAGAGATATATATGCAGAGATATAGAAAAACACAGACAGAAACAGAGAGAGTGATATATATAGAGAGAGAGAGGGAGAGACAGAGAGAGAGAGAGAGAGTGAGATACAGAGAGAGAGAGACAGAGAGAGAGAGAGAGAGAGAGAGAGAGAGAGAGAGATAGGGAGAGAGAGAGAGAGAGATGAAGCTAGGTAAAGAGGTATATTAAAAGACAGACAGAGAATAAGAGGGGGAGAGTAGGGGATACATAGAGAGATAAAGAGATAAAGAGAGAAAGAGAGAAAGATAGATATAGAAGAAAAAGGCAGAAAGAGAGAGAGATAGAGAAAGTTAGAGAGACAAATAGAAAAAGGGTGAGAAACAGAGAGAAAAAAACACGTTTGGAACGAGATAAAAGATAAGCCAAAGGAAATACTAAGATATAGCGACTTATAAATAAGTATATAGACAGATATAGAGAAAAATAAAAAGAGGGAACGAGAGAAAAATGTTCAGAGTGGCAAGTGAGCGCAAGGGAAAGAAATGAGCAACTCTAGAAACAGATGAGTTCCACAAAAATTCACAATTTCACAAATTCAAAGTGCTTCACACTGACAAATTTTAAGTTTCCAAATAAAATAAATTTAAAATTAATGACTAAAACTTTTCCCTAGCCATAATGATAATTTCATATTAGAACTTTTGCCTCAACAGTTTGGTCTACCCTTTCAGTTACTTGCACGGCCAGGATACTTATGCAAAAGGCTGGGCAACCAAATGTCCTTAGGCGTTTGACGTCTGCTGCTATTGCTTTCTGCACTTGTTTATATATTTACCATATGGCTATGGGCGTGGCAGTCGCGCACACACACATACAGTTACCCATTGCCCGTTAGCCAAACGCGCGCGCAATTACTTTGTTGGCACTTTGTTTTGGCTTTGCTTTTGAAGTGTTTTTTTTTGTTTTTTGGCTTGTTTGAGTTCTTTTTTGCTGCCGGCGGCTGTGGACCGAAATCTGGTGTAGAAACTAGCTTAGGCCAGGTCCATTTAGGCAGGCGCCAAAACTAACAGTCAACAACTACAACACAGTAATAAGAACAACCATTCATATGTTGCATAATTTATGCAAATGTATTTATTGCTGCGCCGCAAAGTAGGCAACAGAAACGGGCCTTCAGAGAGTTGGGCGGGGCAGAGAGCTGCTGCTGCTGCTGCTGCTGCTGCTGCGGGCAAAGCAAATAAATGTTAATATCATGGTAATAGCCCTGGCCTGCCTTGGCAACCAGGTGTAACCAGAGTGAGGTACACTTAACAGACGCCCACCTGCACCGCATAAGCCCCTATAAACTTCGAGTTGAGCTCGGCAAAACGAAACAGGAAAAAACCAAAAGTCAACTAAATGTGTATTGATGTGCATACCAAAGTCAGTGCTTTCTCTCTCTATGTATATATATATGTGTGTGTGTGTGTGTGTGTTGTGACTTGTGTTTTGCATGTTGCCTGCTATGCCAAAGGGCAGGGGCGTGGCATTAGAAAACAAAGCGCCCAACACACAAAAAACATGTTAAATTCATTCGAGCAAACAGCAGTGGGTAGTACGCAGGGGTTAGCAGAGCACGAACAAGGCGAGGGCGACTGTGGTGCCTAGATATCTGGCGTCTGCTTTGCCCTGCTAGCCCCTTCATACGTTTGCCTTAGGCGTAGGACCCAAATGCGTGGGCGTGCGGAAATTTAATAAGAATTGGATTTTTATGTTTTGCGCGTCTAGATGGCATATGGTACACACACACACACACACGCACAGCTCTGTGTGTCTGTATCTGAGTGTGTGGCTGCTCTATGGGGCGCACTTAATTTGGCATTAATACTCATGACAAGCGTGCAAACAGCAGCAGCCCAAACCTCAACTTGAACGAGCCTCCACCTCCACGTCGACCTTAGCCTTTTGTGCTAATGATTTGATTTATTTGCGGCCAGGCAAATGCCGTTATTTGCACAACCACCGAAATATGTAAATAAATAAATAAATTACTTTCTGTGTGTAGGCAAGCGTGCTGTACCCCATATTTTTTTTGCACTCTCACGCCACTCCAGCTGTCGGCAGGTTAATTATTTTCATTGATTTTAAATGTTCGCAAATTAAATTTAATTTTCGTGTAATCAGAGCCCTTTGAAACTCTGCATAATGAAAATGCGCACGAAAATCCATTATATGCTCGCTTTTTAATGCATTCGAAAATTAACTCACATGTCTCCTTTCCTGCAATTAATTAAATGTGTTGTCATTCGACTAGTCGTTAATCACATTACTTTTTTCTGTGTTTGGATTTTTTTTTTTGGTATAATGTTTGCAAAATTGTTTATTCTATGTAACTGCGTACAGTTTTAGCCATAGATAGGTATAAGCGGGTATTGGTGAGATAAAAAGGTAAAGAAAATGTAAAAATAAACTAGGTGAGATTAGAATTCCTAAAGGGTTCGAGAAAACGTGTGCTGGCCATAGATTTGATAGGAAGCGCTCTGACAATATGCAACAAATACTCAGCAAATAAACTGTGTAAATCGATATTTATCAATTGTAAAGTAAATTGAGAAGTTTATATATAAAAGCAGGTCAAACATATTGGAGAGATGCCGACAGGTTTAAGCTATAAATAGTTAATCATTGATTGTAAAGGATGAGTTACATAAATAAATAATAAATGCTATGCTAATAAAGTCTGTCACTCGATATTTATCGATTGTAAAGTATGAGGCGAATTACTCATCGAGAAGTAGGAAATTTGCAATTTCCAAGTCTGCTAGTCTCTGACGTCAGCGTATGCTTGTAATATTTTTGCTGGCTTTAGATATTCAATTCATTTTAAAGCAAGTCCTTTTAAAATAAAGTCTGTCAATCAATATGTATTGCGCTCTAAGTAAAATATGAAGTTAATCATATTTGAAATTTGCCTTCCTCAGGTCTCACTGACGCATCTGTAGCTCTACCTACTTGACATCTTGTGCACTGCAAGTAACTGAAATACTTGAAGTTGTTATCGCCTGCTTATTACATAATTTTATACAAAACTTTTTTCATTATCTTCAATCGGTAGCAGCTTAAAAGGCTTTTCTTATTTTCAGACTCAGGGCAAGATTAAATTTTCAAGTACACTTTTTGCTGATTTTCGATAAATTGTTATTGTTATCGATAATTTGATGGTGCTTCCTGCTCCTCAGTTGGTCGCCTTCAGCCTGAGCAGGTTGCTCGCTTTTGTTGCTACTAATTTATGCAAAAATTCTAATGAATTTTTATGCCAGCGAAATGAAAAAGCAAAGCAGACACAGCGCAACAGAGGCGAACAGAGAAAGGAGGCTAAGTAAATGAGGGCGTTGTGCGCACAGTGCGAATTAATGAAAATTCATGAACAATTCTTTTGTCTTAAGGAAATGCCGAGTGGGGCGTGGCAGGGGCCAGACCATTAACGAGCGCAAATTAAAAGCAGCCCAAACATTAATTGAGAAAGGCCGAAAACAATGAAACGAAATGAATTTGTTCAAAAATGTGCACGAAATAATAAACAATAAAGATTTATGCAATACTTTTAAATTGCCAAAAACGAAATTAATTGCACGATTTGAGACGTTTTGGATTTAATTAAATCACTTGAAGAGCAGCTCAGATGATTTTATGGCAGGTATTTGTGGGCGAAAAGGCTTCTCAAGCCAATTGTTGTGAAGACTGTTGCAAGAGATAAGTAGAGCAGCCTGACATGAATACCACTAAGCTAGCCCCCGCTTTCCCTGCCACTCTCTCGATGTGCAGACGAGGCGTAGCTGGAGGTCCTTTGCTGACGCACGCTGGCCTGGCAGGTATGCTATCCCCTTAAGCATTGCGTGAGCGTGACGCTTGAGGCCAGCAATCAGGCATTTTGCTGGAAATTCGATTTTGATTTTCCATTTTCCGTTTTACATTTCCCATTTTCACCATTTTCCCATTTCTGAATGCGATTGCATCTTCAATTGCATGCAACCCATGATGCCCTTCAATAGCTCGTCTTAATTGCAATTTCCCAGAATTTTTGGCCAAATGCGCCTCTGACCAGAAGCCAGCTGCTGCTTATGTGATTTCCATGGAATAATTTCAACAAATTTGGCTAACAAAGCAGTTGATGATGCGCTTCTGGGAAACGGAAAAATGAGGCCAAAGATGCGTTGCCTAGAAACAATTTGACATTCAAATTAACTGAATGGAAAAGTTGAAAAAGCCTTTTCCATTCTTAT